TGGCTTGCCAAATATTCCCTGATGAGTTTGTTGTTGAGGCAATATTTTAATTTCCTGGGTCCCACCTCTTAAATTTTTGTCACTATCCCAGAGGCAAATAATTAGGCTTTGATGCCACCATCTCTGCTATAGATGTAGAATTTCCTGATGCCTATCCACACTGAAGGTACAGTGCTGTGTGGTTTTGTAGCTACTTGAATCTCTGCTGTGGATTCTCCAAATCTACATGACATGCATAAGCAGTACTATGGACACTCCCAGGTAGACATCTCTAAGCTTTTATTGGGTTTCCTGGTCACAGTTTGGCACCTCAAAGCTCTTTCTAAGTATCGTCCTAGATGAAATGACTAAATATTAAAAAAGGATAGATATAGTCGTAATGGGAAACTTCAACCACCCTGTTATTTGTTGGGTGTCAAATACTGCCAAGAATGTAAGGTCCAAAAATTGTTCATTTGCATTACAGAGAATAAACATAGGGCCTCTGCAGACCGGCGCAAAGGGCCGGCCTAGAGGCAGAGATGGTATGGTGCACCAGAAAGGGCGAAGAAGAGCCGTGCGCCGGCTCTTAGGGTGACCTTTTGCCGCCCCTAAAAGGAGCAACATTTTGCCGCTCTTTTCGGGGGAACAAAAGGGAGGATTGGGGCAGCGGTGAGGGGTAGCAGTGGCCCAGAACCGCCCGTCTGCACCCCACCATAGAAGAAAAACATTAAGAGCTGTTTGAGAGTGGAACAGACTACCTTGTAGGGTAATGGAGTCTCCTTCTTTGGAGCTATTTAAACTGAGGCTACTTGGTTTTAGTTCTAGATATTTATTTCTTTTTAAAAGGAGGTGGCATGAACTGTCTTTCCTTTATATGCTTATGAGAATATTTTATGTCTGTTAATATAATAATTGAATAATCACTTCTGAACTCAACTCAATCTCTGATTTGCTTATTTAGAGAAGCCCTCACTCTTCCTTGAGACAAGAGAATGTGAAACCAGAGGTTGCAGGGCAGAACACTGTAGGAACCTTGAGTTCCTCAAGTGTCTGTTTACATGATGCATAAAACATCTGTGCAATCATGGTTCCTTTTTGACTCTGCAATGGTGTAGCCCAGGGGTCGGCAACTGTTTTTGCTGATGGGTCGGGAGGAGGGTGAAATAGAGCTGGGGGGCGGTGCGCATGCGCACTTGCACACGCGCACACTTGCTCCCCTGTGTATGTGCATGCATGTGCACCATTTTGAAAAACAAAATGGCAGATGCCCCCCCACATCACACGCACATGCGCATGACAGTGGGGGCCCCCCGGGAGGGCCCCCTTGGCTGTGCCAGGAGGCCCGGCGCTGCCGCGGGTGCCCCCCAGGAGGTGTCCCTCGGCAGTGCCAGGCCTCTGAGAGGCCCAGTGTCAAAATGGCACCCCGCAGTCTCGCGCGACCTTTCCTGCGACGGACGAGTTTGCGCAAGACTCCGGGCGCCATTTTGGATCCTGGAGGAGCCCTGCAGCTGCAAAAGGTGGCGGCTGTGGTGGCGGCAACAGGACCGGACAGGGCCGGTCCAAAGGCTTCTGCGGGCCACATCCGGCCCACAGGCCATAGGTTGCTGACCCCTGGTGTAGCCTATTCTAATTTTACCAGTTGGAGGAAGGAAAAGGGCAGCTCCCTCCTCAATCTCCTTGGTTGTCAAAGGACAGAAGCATCCCATTCACTAAGTTCAGAAGAAGTTCCCACACATTGGGTGCTCAGATGTGGCTTGGATAAAGCAAACCCCAGCACTGCAGAGACTTTGGCTAATAAGAGGACAGAATCTTCAGAATCAAACAAATGGTCAGAGGATTCATCCTGATTTGAACTAGAATTAGACCATTCTCCTCTTTTTCAGACTTACCAGCATTAGCTCAGGTTCCTGAAGGCCCTCCCCTAAGAGCAGACACTCCACATTGAAATCACAGTCTAAATCCTCCAAGGAATGAGCAGAAGATATTGCCTTTCTTTTTAACTAGACAGTTTTTTGAGCAAAGACCCTGAAGTTCCTTGGAAAGCCCTATGCTGAAACTCTACTTGCTTCTTAGGCAACACACTGATTGCATGAGAAGCTGCTAAGAGTTTCTTAGCAGAGGCTTTTGAGGCTTCTGAGGTTTCCTTGTGGCCAGACTGAGAGGAAGCCTGGACTTCCAAAAGTTTTTTTTTAACTGAAGCATTAAGGCTTGCATATCATCCCCAGGCCACCTGCCTCATGAGTCTTTTGTTTGGTGAGGCAGAAGGGGCAGGAGGGAGGAGACACCTCTCCAACAAAGATCTAGACTGCAGTTGTGTCTCTTCAAGGGGTGGTGGAGAGTGAATTTGGTGATACTGGCCAGGCTGATCTTGGCTATGAAAAGGCCCACACTGTTCCTGTACATTCTGATGTCCCTGCTACTCCTTATGAACTGAGAGGGCTGGCTCCCAAAAAAAGTCAGCAGATATGGTGCTACCCTTAAGGTATGGTTAACGCCCATAAAATCTGGCTATGAGACAGTGGTGTGTGAGTGTGCTGAACAGCTGATTCCAAATGGCAGGTGCTGCACACACAGCCAAAAAGGGCACCATCAGCCTGCTCTGTGAAAAAAGCGGTGGGAAAACTGCAAAGCTACAATGGTCCCTGAATGCTGAGGCACATGCTTCAAAGTGTGTAGAGGGGATTTCATGCCCTTTTGATACAAATACAGCCCCAGGGGGAACAGGATACAACTGGTTGATCCTTCACCCTAAACTCCTCTCTCACCAGTGCTGTGAACATCATGTCCTTCTGTGAGGCACTCTTGTGATCTGGATTTGACTCCACCATGCTCTGGATGTGTTGATGTGCTGGAGTTGGATGTAGACTCCTCCGATACCTGCTGAAGTGTCTTCAGCAGCAAGGGAGCTGTATCCTTGGCCAGAACAGCCCCACCATCAGAGTGATCCAGTTTAGCTCGATCCTCTGGCGTACTGTCTACAGTGCAACTCTGAATTAGCTTCTCTTTTTTTTAATAGCCTTACTCCTACTGGAGCCATCACAGGACGTTATCACATGGGGGAAATCTATAGGTTATCCCACACAAATCCCCCCCAAAAGCGCACTTATGCCTAACAATTTCACACGACGTCGCACAGAAACTGACATTAAAGTGGTCACAAAGTGGCGCTTTCTGAGATCTTTTTATTTTTGGGAGTTTAGAGGAAATGCATTTGCGATATTACAGTAATTTCGCCTTTACTGTAGTATGAAATTCAAATTCGCACAAACAAATCTCCTTTAAGGCTTTTCCCCGGTTTTCCCATGGTTCTGTGGGGCTGCTTTTACTTCCTGGTTTGCTTGGGTGACAACATGCCAGGCAGACATGAGCTTCTTCGCTTTTCTCTTTCTAAAATTTCCTGTCTGGTAGTTGAGCAAACAGGCGCATTTCCCTCAAGCTAAAGAGTGACTGCAGAGTCAAAAAGACGAGGGGGAGGCTGAGGAAGGGAAAAGGTTTCCCATGCCAACAACCCACCATGGATAGGATTGGGTGGGGGTTGTTTTAATTTGTAAGCTGCTCTTTGCCCCTATTTTGGGGGGGAAGTGGAATAGAATCCCTGCTCAGCCATGAAACCCACTGAGTGACCTCGGGCAGGTCACACTCTCTCAGCCTTAGGGGATGGC